GCTCCAGGCCCTTCATGATTTATTCACCTGCCCCCACACCAGCCTTTGTCCGAGGGAACCAGATCCCACCAGAAGCCTGCCACCTGAGCTGGTGGCTCTGGCCTCTCCCGGCCACCCGTGGCCATCCATTCATGTATCCCCCGGCAAACCTCTGAGGCTGGCTGGGACCAGCCCTGGGCCAGCTGCTGGGGCCACACAACAGACCCCACCTTCCCCGAGGACCCCCCTCTCAGGCACGTCTAAAGAGGAAAATGTACACCGGACAGCCTCCAAGTGCATGGGGGCGCCGCATCAGGAGGTGAGGGATGGGGCAACGCTCTAGGCGTTGCCTGCCAGTGTTCCGGCTGTGCCTGGCCCTGGGCGAGAGCTGGGGTTCCTGACAGGGACCACCCATGAGCTTGGAGGGGCCCAGGAGCTGGGACCTGGCAGTATGTGGGCGGAGGCCCTCAGGAGGGAGGGAGGGGTTAGTAGCCTCTGGAGGGGGTAAGGGTGGCAAGAGTTCAGAAAACATTTGAGAGGGGCTGAATCTTCAGCAAATGTTTCTTGAACACCTGCGTGTGCCTTCCTGGGTGCTGGGAACCAGTCTCTGCCTGCTGGAACCTTCCACCTGGTGGGAGACGCACATTCAGCAAACCAGGATTACAACGGCTGGTTGTGCAGGGAAGGGCCCTGCAGGCCACCAGGGACCTCGCTGTGAGTGGGGCCGAGGGGCTGACGCAGTAGAGGGCAAGGAAAGCCTCCACGCGCCCACGGGTGGGCCTGAGGATCCGAGCACAGGCCAGGAGCGAGAGGCATGTGGCTGCTGGCCGGGCGGTCAGGGCAGGAAGGGATCGTCCGCGCTGCCTCAGCCTTCAGCGTCCCTCAGCCCCTCTGCACTGGCCTCCCAGGTGGTAAGACCCCTGGAAATGTTCCTCGTAGGCAGGAATCCCCTCTGTTCTCTACAAGGTTGTGGAAAATGCCTGCAGTTCCCCCGTGCACTGGACTTGTGGCCCTGGGAAAGATATTTCACCTCTCTGAGCCTCGGTTTCCCTATATGAAAAATGGGGGTTGACCTAGCATCCACCTCACAGTGCCATTGTGGAAATTAAATGATAAAGGACCTGGCAGGTTCCTGGCACACAGGAAGGGCTCAAAAAATGGTGGGCACCACATGTGACGAATGTCCCATGTCTACATGACCATGTAAGAAGGCAGGAAGTGATGAGAAACGTGTGTCCCAAAGTACAATCCAAAGCAGTGGGGGCCATAACTGGGCAGAATACAGTGGGTAAAGGAGTTTTCAATCAGGGGGCAAAGGCTTCCTGTCGAGGCGGAGGACAAAGCCTGGCTTGGAAATCTCTCCTGGGGGATTCAATGAGCAGCATCCTGGAACACTTCTCTTCGTGCCCTTAACTTGCCCAGCTTGACTCGGCCAAGCTGAGGTCCTGGCTCAGTGTCCAGGATAGTAGATCAGTGGTTTGACTGATGGGTAGACAGATGGATGGATGCGTGGAAGGATGGTTGGCTGGGTAGAATGGGTGGGTGGATGGATGGGTGGATGATCTGATGGACTGGTGTTTGAATGGTTGGTGGTTGGAAGGATGGATGATTGAGTAGATGGATAGATAGATGGACAGATGGATGGAAGGATGAACAGATGGACAGGTGGTTGGATGGATGGACAGGTAGGTGGACAGTAGGTGGGTAGATTGGGAGTTGAATGGATGGGTGGACAAGTAGATGCATGGAGGGATGGACAGGTGGGTGGCTGACTAGACAGAAGATGGGTAGATTAGTCCATGGGCTGGTGGTGAAATGGTTGGTAGATGGATGGATGGATGATTGCATAGACAGATGGTTGAGTAGATGGTTGGTTGGATGGATGGATGAAAAGATGGATGGATAGGCAGGTGAAGGATGATTGGGTGGGTAAATGAGTAGTTGGATGAATGGATGGATAAATGGATATATGAATGTTTTGATGGACTGGTAGTTGAATGTTTGTTCGATGGATGGATGATTGGGTAGATGGGTACGTAGATAGGCAGACAGATAGATGCAAGTGGTTAGACGACTGGCTGGATGGGCTGCTGGTGAAGGTCTTCTATTCTCCATTAAACGCGTTCGTTAGGGTGGAGATCATATTTTAACTATTTCTGTGTCTCCTACGATGTTTAGCCCATGTGTTGCCTGGTCATACCAATCCATGTATAAGTGAAGATGTGTGTCTATCCATCTCCCCCCACTCTGAACTGTGATTCCTCTAATGGCAAAGATGATAGCTCCTTCTTCCCCACGTTCCCACAAGCCGAACCCGGAGCTCGGCCCCCGGCAAGCACCATACACAGAACCATGTTGAGATACCACCCCACACTTCCCATACTAAAGGAAAGAAGACAGACAATAACGAGTGCTGGTGAGGACGTGGAGAAACTGGAGCTCACACACTGCTTGCCGGTGGGATTTTAAAATGGTGTGGCCACTTCGGGAAAGAGTTTGGCAGTTCCTCAAAAACATGATCTGGCAGTCCCACTGCGAGGTGTACACTCAAGGGAATTGAAAACATACGGTTACAGGAAGACTTCGACACAAATGTTCATAGAGGCAGTATTCATAGTAGCCCCAAACCGAAACAACCCGAATGTCCATCAACTGATGAATGAGTGAATGAAGGTGGTCTATCCACTCAACAGGATATTCAGCCATAAAAAGAGATGAAGTACTGACACACGCTACCGTGCGGATGGCCTTGAAAATGTGATGCAGAGTGAAAGAAGCCAGCCCCCAAAGGACAGATACTGGATGATTCCGTCTGTGTGAAATGTCCAGCATAGGCAAATCCATAGCGACAGAAAGTAGATTAGTGGTTGCCAAGGGCTAGTGGGAGGGGGCATGGGGAGTGCCCGCTAATGGGTGTGGGTTTCTTTTTTGGCACGATGAACACGTTCTGGAATTAGATAGTGGTGATGACTGCATGACACTGAATATACTAAAAACCACAGAAGGTAGATTTTATAAGGGTGAATCTTACATAATAATAAAGCTGTTTGTTTGTTTGTTTATTTTTAGAGACAGGGTCTCGCTGTGTCACCCAGGCTGGAGTGCAGTGGTGCAATCATAGCTCACTCACTGCAGCTTCCAACTCCTGGGCTCAAGTGATCTCCCCACCTCGGCCTCCCAGGTAGCTGGGACTGCAGGCACATGCCACCGCGCCCGCCTTATATATATATTTACAACCCGCCAAAGACAGGTGCTGACGTGCACATGCACTGGAGGTTGGGAGCGGACAGAGGGAGGTCCTGGGCCGTCAACCTGGGAGCGCTGTGCTTCTGGGAGGAAGAGGAGGAGGCCCCAGAGTAGCCACAGAGCGAGACCACAGGCTAGGCCTGTGGAGCCAGAGGACTGCAGGTAAGAGCAGTCACGTGGAACACCACAGCACAGTGCCAAGCCAGACTGAGGGACAGCCACCCACACAGTCTGTGAAACTTTTGCACAGAGGAAGTGGGGGTGGGTGGTACTCCAGGCCAGGGCAGGTGAATGAACCTCTCTGAGCCTTGGTGTCCTCTTCTGTGTAATGGGAACAATTCCCCCTCCCTCCCGGGTTGTCATGGAGATGAAATGAGACCATTTGTATTGAAAGCTCTTTGTAATCTGCTATGTGCTGGGCAGATGTTCCTCCAGCTGTGAGTCAGGAATGAGAACCCCACGCCCCAGCCCCAGGCAGCTGTGGGCTCCAGTGAGGGGAGTGGAAAGCCCTGGCTGCAGGGGCGCTCCTGATTAGGGTGACGTTTTGGTTTCACCCCTTGCTTTGGGTGGGTAGTTCTGCACCTGGGTAGGACACCTTCCTCTCTCCTTGTGGTTCCGACAGAACACCCCCTGAGACCCCTCGGGGCAGGGGGCAGCCGGGAGGGGAGCTGGACTGGGGGCACCAGGCGAGCCTGCAGGGAGGTGGGCACTGGGCTCTGCCGGGCAGGACTCGGCCCTCCCAGGCCCAGGGGACCCTGCCCACCCCAGTCCGTGGTCTTCCCACCCACCGTGCCCAGCCTGTATTTGGAGGGTGTAGGGCTCTCAGACTCAGTCAAGACATGATTTGGAGACTATGTAGGGGAGGAAAAACAATTTTTTCCTCAACCTTCATGAATTCTTACTTGGGACAGACCCACAATCATGCGGGAGGAATGAAAAGGAACTCCAAGCAGTGGCTAGAACTCCACTTGCATCTCAGCTTCCACAAGGAACAGTACCTTTGTCCTTTGACAGGACAAAGGAAAGCAGTTTTAGGCTGCCAAAGGTGGGTGACTGTGGGAAGGTAAATATATGGCAGGAAGCTGACGGAGTGAGGTTTGTTTGGGAATTCTTCTGGGGCCTGGGCTAGTGTAATAAGAGTCTAGAGTTGTCTCCAATAAAGGAGAATGTGTATTCTACCTTTAGGCAGGAAAGGAGAGGGACAGAGAAAGCTCTTCCTCCATTTGTTGCTTCTAAATTGCCTGCGGCTCAAAATTAATTTTTATGTCCAAGAGACATATTTTGGGGTATCATATTCTGGTTTCCCTAAATGACAAGGCCTAGAAGAAGAAAGAATGAGGGTTAAAAGTGAGGCCCCTGGAGCCTGCCAGACCTGCGTTTAAGTCCTGTTTACTAGCTGTGTGACCTTGGGACGCCATTTAACCTCTCTGTGCTTGTTTCCTCCTCTGTAAAATGAGCATGGGTCTTGGAGGTGTGATGTATGCAAAGTTCTCAGCCCTAAGGGCCTGCGATCGTTATCATCACAAAGAGAAGATGTGTGTACGAATATGTCCGTTTGTTGAAACTGCGTTCATCCATGCAACAAGCACTCACCGAGCACCTGTGTGCAGGCGCTGGGGACACGGCAATGAGCAAGGTCCTCAGCCCTGGCCCTCTGTGGGCCACCAGGAGCTGTGTGGTTTGGCGGTGGGTGCTGCGGGCGGTGTTAAGGTGTGATGCTAGGCGTGGGCACCTCTTGCAAACCGCAGCCCTGCAGGCAGGGTACGCCCACGCAGATGCCTGGTGCTGCCGGGGCCACCCTCAACCTCCTTTCCCCGACCTGCCGCACCCAGCTCGGTGACTGGGCGCATTCCTGGGGTGGGGCAGGGCGGGATGAGGGGGTGGAGCAGAACAGCAAATATAAGACCTTTGGGCGCCTCCTCGCTTCCTGCTGCGCTTGGCTGCTCCGCCGCGAGTGAGTCCTGGTGCCCCGGTGGGGGCGGGGCGGGGCCGGGCCACGCCCTGTCCGGGGACTGGCCCCAGCTGTCTGCCCCTGGGCCCTGCAGCCCCGACAGGGGTCCTCCTTCATCGGGGTCATCGTCCTGTCTGTCTGTCTTCCCAGTGCCGCCCTACACCATCGTCTACTTCCCCGCCAGAGGTGCGGCCCAGCTCCGGCAGGAGGACGAAAGGCACTGGGGACCCTGAGGCCGCTCCCTGGCCCGGCCGGCGTCGGAGGGGGCGGGTCCCGCACCTGCCTTCCCCGCGGCTGCAGCCGCTAGGGCCACCGGCTGCACTTTGTGTCGCTGTTTCCCTTCGGGGCTGGGTTCTCTCTCCTCTCCAAGGCATTGCTGGGTCATGGACTCTGCGCTTTCTTCACACTTCCATCCTCTCTCTAGGAAGCTCCTAAGCTAGGGTTTCTGGCTTGTCTCCTTGTCTCCTCCCCACCCTGCTGACCCCTCCTCAGGGCGCTGCGAGGCTGGGTCTCTCCCGGAGTCCCCATGCCCTGTCCTGTCCCCCCACACCAGGGCGTTGCGAGGCCCTGCGCATGCTGCTGGCGGACCAGGGCCAGAGCTGGAAGGAGGAGGTGGTGACCAAAGAGGCCTGGCAGCAGGGCTCGCTCAAGGCCTCCTGTGTGAGTGACCATGCCCGGGCAGGGGGCGGGGGCTGGGCCTTAGGGGGCAGGACTGGGGGAGGGCAGGACTAGGGTGGGGGCAGCCAAGCTCAGTGCCCCTCATGGAGCCGTGCCTCCCTCCAGCTGTATGGGCAGCTCCCCAAGTTCCAGGATGGAGACCTCACCCTGTACCAGTCCAATGCCATTCTGCGTCACCTGGGGCGTTCCCTCGGTGAGTCCTGAGACCTCAGGTGGCCCAGTCCAGAGAGGTACCTGACAGGTGCCTGGCAGGACGTCCTGGGGCCTGAGCTGCTGCCCCTATAGCCACCAAAGTCCTGCCTTGCTGGAGGGCAGGCCAGTGGCCCCTAGAGGAAGGCGCAGAGCCTGGGTTCCCGAAGGGCAGGGGCCGTGCAGCTCGGGCTGGCCCCCAGCCAGGCAGCACCAGGTGGGGTTGCCGTACCCACTTCCTGGACAGAACAGTTCAGAGGAGGCCACCAACCCCCATGGGTGCTTTGGTGCAGGCCAGGGGCCACTTCAGGTAGGCCCAGGGGCTTCGAAGTAGACCTCCGCCCATTTCTTCTTGGTCGCATCTGAAGCTGGAAAACCCACGCTCACAGTGAGCAGGCCTGTGGCTACGTTTCAGGAGTGGCAGGAACATGGCTCAGGGACATGCTGTCTCCTTTTGGCCAGCTCGTGGGGTCCAGGAAAGCCCAGGGTCCCAGAGGGCATGACAACCAGGGAAGGGGGCAGAGGAGCAGTGGGAGCAGTCCAGGCCCAGCCTACCCCAACTTCTGTGGACCCAAGGGTGAGGACAGAGGCCCCCCACTGGGTCTGTCACCTCCCCTTCCTGTCCCGATGGTGTCTTGCAGTGCATATGGACGCAGCAGTCCTCCCGCCTAAGTCCTGTCCAGGGCCCCACAGATAGCTGTCTGTGTGCCTAGGGAGCCACACGTCAGAGGCTTGGTCCTCCCTTTGTGGGGGCAGACGTTGGGTCGGTGCCATTTGGGCAGGGAATGCCCAAGTGCCAGGGACCCAGGAGACAAGTGTGTGCCTATAGTCTCCTCACACCATGCAGATGGGAGCAGCAGAGGTGGGCAGAGAGGGCCCTCCAAAGCAAGGGATCGGAGAGGGGCCCTGGTGGCCCAGGCCTGAAGCTTGTGGGCTTTTGGGGGAGAGGACAGAACCTGAGTGGGCTGCCTGGCTGCTGACCCAGGGCTCTATGGCAAAGACCAGCGGGAGGCGGCGCTGGTGGACATGGTCAACGATGGGGTAGAAGACCATCGCAAGCGCTGTGGCCACCTCATCCACCATAACTATGTGAGTGAGGGCTGGTGCTCTGGGACAGGGTGAGCGGGGCCAGGAGGTCGCCCTGGGCAGCCTTGCTGCACCCTGCCCAGCTGGGATCACTCCCATTCACAGGAGGAGGGCAAAGCCCAGTATGTTCAGGAGCTACCCGGACACCTGAAGCCTTTTGAGACCCTGTTGGCCCAGAACCAGGGGGGCCAGGCCTTCATCGTGGGTGACCAGGTGAGCCTCTCCCAGCCCATTGTAGGTCCATTTCTCAGAAGGGCAGACTGAGGCCCAGAGTGGGCCGGTTCACTGGAGGAGAGGCAGAGCCAGGGAGCAGCCAGTGTTGCGGCTCTCGAAGCCTCCCTCCCTCCTGACCTGGCTGAGCCCCTCTCATCCCCTGCCCTGCAGATCTCCTTCGCCGACTACAACCTGCTGGACTTGCTGCTGGCCCACCAGGTCCTGGTGCCGGGCTGTCTGGACACCTTCCGCCTGCTCTCGGCCTACGTGGCGCGCCTCAGCGCCCGGCCCAAGCTCAAGGCCTTCCTGGCCTCCCCTGAGCACGTGAACCGCCCCATCTTTGGCGGCCGCAAGATATGAACCCACTTGGCCTCCCCCTGGGACAGGGGCTGTTCCTGGCAACCAATACAAATTGTGAGAGGCAAGCTGTGCTGTCGTCCTGTGGGAGGGGCTCGCCTTGCAGGATGTTGTCCTTATAGCAGCTGGGAGGTCTCAATCCATGAAAAAGACAGCGGTGAGCGAAAGGGGCAGGAGCTGCCGGCCGCGTGTGAGTTCATTGTCTGCGCACACGCTCAGGCGTAGTGCGCACGCGTCCGCTCGGGAGCAACACACGTGTGTGAACGTTCCCTGTTCACATGTGTTACCCAAGGTCACAGACACCAGCCCATGCAGCAGGCGGCCAGAAGGGCCCAAGTGGGGGCTGAAGGTGGCCTGGAGCTCTGGGCGGCCTCCTGCTGCTCACAGACTGAGGGGGCCGAGGGTCCCCCGCAGTTCCAGGGAGCCTCTGTCAGTGTGAGCGGGCCTCACCCCCACCCTGAGGGCCCCCATCCTCTCCTTCCTGAATTGCGTGGCCACTTCCTGCTGTGGTCCCTGAGCCTGCCTGGCACCTCTTGCCAGCTATTAGGTAATCTGGGGTCAGAAAATTCTAGAATGTCCATCACTCCCTGTACAGAACTGCTGCCCTCGGGGTGAAGACCACCCCCTGCCCGTCCTGTGCGGCCCTCCAGAATATTCCCCACCCATCGCTGTCCTGTTCACCCTTACGCTGCCTCTCAGCTCTCCAGACA